GCTCCAAATTTTATGTGATTTGGATTTGTCAAAAAAATATTAAAATTCAAATAAAAAAATGCAATTGTGACCGTCAGATCAGCGCAGATTCAATCTGAGCCGTTTAAGCGTTTACTTTAGCTGTCAGCTCGTGGGCTGACCTCAAGGACTCCCATATATATATATATATCTATAAACATAACACTTGGAGCATTTGGTTTTGCCTACCCTGCTCCCTCGTTCTATGGAATCATCCTCGATAAAACGTATCTCAGGAGTCAATCGTAGCTTCATACGCCTTCCAAGAGCACTGCGAATGTATTTAGCTTTTGATTTTAGTCCAGCAATTGCTATCTCTTTCCCTCTCTCATCCCCAAAAACAGATACATATACTTTCACCACCTGTAGACATGAGAGAAGTAAAATATCTGTAAAACAAAATGTTATAGCAATCTTTTTATAAAGGTTTATACCATTTAGAGTAGAATCATATACAAATGTAATCTATGCCATGATTATGTTGGATGTGATCCCTTAGGTCGGATGTGAATTCCTCAGCCAATGGTAAGCTACATAAACAAAGGCATTAATAGTATCAAAAAGTAGATAACAAGTTAAAATGAATGCCAAAATTTCTATTCCTCCAACAATTAATTAAGAACTCTTGGATGAGCATTTAATAGAGAAAAGTGTCATCCTATCTTCATCCATTTGAGTGTGAAGAATGGCACAACGGGTAGCCCATTTTGTAGCCCCACTTATCAACCAACACCACAAAAACCTACAGTAATTGCAAAAAATAAACTATTTTTCACATATTTATAAATAACTCCCTTCTTTAGTGAATTCATAGGGACAACCAAATTTGGTAATTTAATCCTCTCCACTACCATATCTTAGAGATTTGTTGGCTTTTATTCATCTAGAGTTTAAAACACTTAGTGCATCCAGCAATGGCTCTTACTACCTTTCTCAACGCATCGATCCAACAAATCATCTATCCTTAAGTATATATAGGAAAAAGCTACGGTCAGCCCATGGGCTGATGAAATAATGTAAGCTCAATGGCCCAGATTGAATCTGAACAGATCCGATGATCACGGTTGTATTTTGTAATTGAATTTTAATTTTTTTTCTACAAATCCAAATTGCTTCAAAATTGGAGCGTCTATTCTTAAAAAATAGTGGAATCTAATAAAAATATCAAAAAAATAATTACACAAA